AGTTCATAGTAATGAATTTCTATGCGTAGACTAAATTCGGTGTTCATAAGTAAAGGTACAGGGGGGGAACTTACATCTGTATACACACAATGGTCAACTCTAAATGAGCAAATAACACTCAGTAAAGACACCTTGGTGCCTGAGGAAGAGCTCTCTGAAAATATTAGCTGACTAGCCAGCAGTTGTCAAAAGGCAAGTTAAGAATCACTAGGGGAAAATCTATGTTCCATCTAGGTTACACATCTAAATATATGGTAAACCTATGTTTTCAGTTTTGCATGAAGGTCTGGTTACCCTTTGTCAAGAAAAGCCCCAGGAAGGGACACCAATAATGATCAGAGCTATGGCACCGTTCCCATCTAGGAGGCTATCTAGTGTATGACTCTTCCATTTGAAAAAGAGAGATGATTGAGGCAGGATATGAGAAAGGTCCTGAATGGTTTTTAAACAGTAAATGTTGTTTATTGTTGTATAAAAACTACGATTCAAGAAGGAATAAAAAAAAAAAAAAAAATCATGGAGGATAGTTTCATCAGCTATGAGATATGATAGTCTGGATGTGACCTCTGGTTTAGAAAGTCCCATAGCAGATTGCCAGACTCTGGGAGAGGACATAAAAGGAAGAACCATTCCACACTCATCTGCTTTCACTTGCTTTACTGTAAGTGACTGTCTCAGTCAGAGATAGGATACTAACCTAGATGGACCCTTGCTCTGACCCATCATGACAACAATTCTATAAATGTCAATTCAGAGAGCAGAACAAATGAGCTGCCACCATTATACAAAGACAGTACAACAATTTGTGGGTGATCTAGTAGAAACTCATAATGGATACCAGGAAATACAGGAAGAACGAGCTTCATTGAAATGGGGTATTTTTCCCTGAAGACTCACCCTGCATTCAGCTACCACTTGGTAGTACACAGTATACAGACCCACCAGAGTAAAAATAAAAACTGTAAGCTTTCTTCAGAGAGCCTCACATGGTCCATTGTCTTTAGACCCAAGGACCTTCATACAGAACATCCTGATGCCAGAGGAAATGGATTCTTTAAAAATCACTGAAGCCTATTTTCAGTAATTTAAGATCATAGTGTGGGGCCATTACTTGTACTAATTTCTGGTTATTCACTGGAAACTCATGGACTTGTGATGACTCTTGATGTAAATGATTATTCAGCAATTTCAAAAACAATTTTACAGTCTGGTCTCTAGGTTTTATAGACACCTGTCAGTGATTTATATTATTGAAAACTCTGGGATGGCCAAAGCCAAGATTTTGATTTGTTCCATTAGAAGCTTCATTATTAGACTCAAAAGAGATCTCAATTCCCTTTTGATGCTTAGCATTACTATGCATATATCACATAGCAGAAAAGAGCAATGTAAGACGACATCCCTAATCATCAAGGTCTGAAAAGAGCAACCAAGAGCTTCAAGTCATCTTCCTCTCACTGATTACAGTGAGAGCAGACTGGGCTCTATCAGTCCACAGAGCTCCAACTCATGAATAGCATGAAAGTCCTTCCAGGTCACTGCATTCATTCAAACTTTCTCACTAACTTGAAAAGCTGACTTTGCCCATTTCTATTGTTTAGTGGGCCCCGCTTGACCCTCAGCAAGCATAACTTCATGACATTCAGATCATGCATTAGGAGGATCCTGGGTATAAAAGTCTTTTTCTGCTTCAGACCATTTGCTCTCTTTCAATCTCTTCAAGATTTTTTTTAAAAATGGAGACAACCCCCAAAAGATTTTCCTTTTCTTTCCCACAGTTACAAAGCCTTCTTCTGCTATTCTCCTTGTATTTGCTCTGTCCTAAAGCAACATTTTTCTGAATTGAGCTCAACATAATTTGTAATATCAATAAGATGACGGAAATATGCTCTCTCACTCTTTGCTGTTCAAAAGAACCTCTATCACACCACAATTCCATTGCGAGCTGACTATGAAGGGCTAAGAACAATTTAGCAAACAGGAAATTTCCATATGACTTAAGCATGAAGGAAGTTCAGATCCAGGTTGAAAACCAGACTCCATAAATCTAAACTCTCCAATCCAAGAAACATCACTAGGGTTTGGAGACATTGTGGGCTGTAATCTTCATTGGTAAAATTGGCACAATTTTTACTGATTCTTCAGTCCTTCGAATTCCCCTGACCATAAACATTGGGTTCATGTTCTGCTCTCATTCACGCAATGGCATTAACAGCATTGCAGACCTAGGCACACACCCAGTACTGCACATTCAAACACACAGTGGAACTCGGTTTCCAGCTAACACAGGTACTAGATTCTCAGCTTAACATAGGTCAGTATCCATTAAATGCAATTCCAGTAACAGAAATGCTTTTATCAGAAGTTCTTGAAAATGCTTTTATTGTAAGTACTTTGTGGCTTAAGAAATGTGGAAGTTGTTACTATTTTGATTATGGAAACTAGGGAAAACAAATCACATCCAAGGTCATTCAGAAGTTGACCTGTGACATTTAAATGCATTTTTTTTTTATTAAAAGTATATGCATGTACACACAAAGAAAAACATGGTTTCATTCCCCTCTACTCTGTTAATGAATTTGGTTCCATTATACCAGGTAGCTTTGAATGGAAATAAAGTTATGGAGTCCAGTTACCAAAACTATGTGCTGCTCCATTTTATCCAATAGCTCAACAGCTAGGGCTGTGACAGGGTTCAGATCTCATCTCTTCTTGCAGGGATTTTAGCCTCCATCTTCCAAAGGACACTCTAACACTAGGATGTTCTTCCACATCCTTTCCTACAAGTGCTGCTAAGAGTAAAAGGGGAACTGTAACACACTAGACTAAAGGTCTGACTAGCTCTGTATCCTGTCTCCAGCAGTGGCTAATATCTGATGTTTAGTGTAGAACATAAGAAAAGGGAAAGCATATAATGATGCTTCCCACAAATACTCTACAACAGCTTGTGACTTCCAGAATGCCTGAGTCAAAGGTGGAATCTGTGTATTTACTGATCTCCATGGCAGCTTTTTTCCATTATTATTTCCAGTAGCTGCCAACACTCAGCAAAATCCCATAGCAGAGAGTCCCACAACTTAATTATGTGTTATGTGAAGATATAGTTCACTTTGGACAAGTAATTAAACCTTCAAACTGACACTAGGACTCAGCTATGCCACTTCCCAGCTGAAGGCTCACTCACCTAATGCACAGTTAGGTGTGGTATGCACATAGGAAGTATTCCTCGTTGCATCACATATAATGGAGCAAACCCAAATTATCCAACAGAAAGGTGGTTAAGAAGCTGTTTTGGAAATAGCGCACCTGGGTTTCAGTCCCAATTACATATTTAGTCATTTAGGAAAGTGAAATAACATCAGTATGAAAGAGTGGGAGTACCATAAAGAATAGTTGGAGAGTGAACTTTACAGTTCTTTTGGATAAAACGTAACCCAGTCTACCTACTGGGTTCTGAGTTAGTAATTATTAGTTAAAAGAAGGATTCCTCCTCCAGTCTTTAAAAATAGCAAATCATTTCACAGAACCACAGAACAGTTCAGGTTGGAAGGCACCTCTGGAGATCATCTAGTCCAATTCCCTGCTCAAAGCAGGCTGCCCAGGATCATGTCCAGTTGGGGTTTGAATATCTCCAAGGATGGAGACTCCACAGCCTCCCTGGGAAAGCTGTTTCAGTGTTGATCACTCACAGTAGTAAAGTTTTACCCTACATTTAAATGGAATTTTCTGTATTTTGGTTGGTGTCCCTTTCCTCAT